CGCCATCCGAAACCCGCCCAAAGCCAAAACTTGGAAAGCTTAACCACGCAACGCCGCGTGTCACTGGACGACGTCTCCTGTCAAGCTCGCCAGATACCCATGATACCCCGGAAAAGCGGCACACCTGTAACCAGCAAGGGGAATGCGAGCGCGAATGAGTTTACGTAGCACAAGGCTACTGTGGAGGAGCAAGTGGGCGGCTCCAGGCACAGGCTCAGGCTGGCAACCTGTCGCGTGCGCGTCATGAAGCCTTTTGACTCCCCTCCCGCACGCTGTGACCGCATGGTTGGCCCCCATTGCGCTTCTCTTATCTTCTCTGTCCCGCCTGCGGTTGCTTCTTCTTCACTGACGTTATACGCGCCTTCCCTGCCCCACGGCTGTCGATCGGAACTTTGAGCACGCGATCACCTTCCCGAAACGCTGCGCTTACCTTTGCTCGGTTTTACCTTGGAGTTTTGGACGATCATAATAACATCATACGGCAAGTGTTCGTTACTGTTGGCGCCCTTTCGTCTCGTCGTCTTTGAGACGGTATACCTATCTGGATTGGAAGCCTGAAGTGGAGTCCTCGCCTCAGCCATGCGGTTACTGAAATGCGCTGCCGCCTTTGCAACCGCGACACTCTTCGCCTCTTCACTAGCCACACCGACGCCACTCAACAGACATCAAGGAGGAGACAACTTGGCCGATCGTATTGAAAGCAGGAAAGGTAAGAAGAAGCCTGATACCAAGTACTTTCATGAGCCCGGGTAAGTCATCATAGCCTTGCACCTTGCGATGTCATTGCAGCCTGTAGCATGTTCGCTGACACCCCTCCAGAGGCAGTATTACGCTCGGCCACTATGACAAGCGCTTTTTCAAGGGCATCGTCTCCGACGAAGAGCGAACGGATACGCAATCGCACATGGTCCGCGCTTACCTGAACTTCTTCCGCGAAAACGAACTCGATACCTGGATAGCACACGGGACGTTGCTCGGTTGGTGGTGGAATGGAAAGGTGAGTCTTCTCCTCCAAATATTGGCGACAAGTCTAATGCATGTGCAGCGTCTTCCATGGGACTTCGATCTCGACACTCAGGTGTCCGACAGCACACTCCAACACCTCGGCGCAGTACACAACCAGACCCGATACCATTACACTTCCTACGACGGCGCCGTCCAGCGCGAATACCTCCTCGACGTCAACCCGTGGATCTGGGAGCGCGAGCGTGGCGATGGCATGAACATTATCGATGCGCGATGGATCGACCTGCGCAACGGCCTGTTCATCGACATCACCGGATTGAGCGAGACACATCCAGACAAGAACCCGGGGCAGTGGGTTTGCAAGAACTACCACCGGTATGACACATCGGAGCTGTATCCCATGCGGGAGACTATGTTTGAGGGCGTCCCGGCAAAAGTGCCGTACAACTACGACAAGATACTCGTGGACGAGTACAAGGAGAAGGCCCTGATAGAGACGAACTTCCACGGGTAAGAGGGTTTACTTTCATACATGGGCAAGTCATGACTAACGACGCGTAGACACCGCTGGGATCCTGATGTCAAAGAATGGGTCAAGAATGAGGAAACGCTGAAGAAGGAAGAAGAAGAGCGCAAGAAGAAGGAAGAAGAGGAGAAGAAGAAGGTGGAGGAAGAGTCAAAACTGGATTAGTATTCCAGTTGGCCGTAATGCAGGTGGTGTCGATGGCTTATACTGGGTTATAGCCCAGGCATTGCCAGCGTATGTTTCTAGTACACGCTTTATTGATACCCGGCGACGTTGAATTTAAGTAGCAGATGTAACGATTATTGATCAGTGAGCACGGGAACAAGCGAGTGCCCAGGTGAGATTCCCTGGTTACCAAGATCTGCGAATGTGCTCAACGGCCCGATGGCGATGGTGGTGAATAGTCAACAGCATGGCTGAGCATCGGAGTTTAGTGATGACAAATTCCGATGGCGACCCCATCATCTCGTGGAAGCCTTGCAGAACGTCACCGAAACAACGCATGGCTAGAGCTCGGCCACATGCTGCGAAGCTTTATATCTTAATCACCACTAACCTCATCACTCACTCCGTATACTAGATCGCGCCTAGGAATCATCCAACCCTCTGCACCGACTCGACACCCTCTCGCCACCACCTACAGCGCTTCCACGATGACAGAAGCCGACACTACATCTGCGCCTCCACCCTCCAGCTCCGGCATCGAAATAAACCTCACACACCACGGCAAAGCAATTGCCCTAACCTTCGCCCAAGATGCCACAATCTCCGACCTCTCCGAACGCGTCGCAAACGACCTGTCAATACCGCCGTCAAACCAAAAGTTCCTCGTAGGAGGGAAGATCGGACTCCAAAAGCCACCCTTCAAGAACCCCTCCCTACCGCTCACCGAGCTCGTCGCAAAGAAGATTACCCTCATGGGCAGCACAACCGAAGCCGTCTCCTCCCTTAACAACACCATATCCGCCGCCTCAGCGCCTCGGCGCCCCGGTCCCATCAAAGCCGCCCTGCCAGCGCGCAACCGCGATTACAAGAAGATACAAGAGGAGGCCAAATACACATTTCATACACTACGGCCGCTACCGTATCTACCGAACCCAGACCGTTCGTTGCGTTTCCTTCAACGACTTCGAGACGACGCGGGGATCAAAGCAGCAATGCGCACGCACAAGTTCAGTGTGCCGCTGCTCACGGAGATGGATCCAGCCATGCACACCACAATGGAGAGTCGGACACTGGGCCTCAACCGCAACCAAGGCGAGGTCATCGAGTTGCGGCTCCGCACAGATGCTTATGACGGGTACCGCGATTACAAGACGATAAGGAACACGCTGTGCCATGAGCTGGCGCATAATGTCTGGGGCCCTCACGACCGCAACTTCTGGAACTTGTGCAAGCAGATTGAACGAGAGGTTGCGCGCGATGATTGGAAGAGTGGTGGGAGGAGTGTGGGGAACGACGAGTTTTATAATCCTGGGGATGAGGGGGCCGAGGAGGTGCATGATCATGGGGGGTGGACTGGGGGTGAGTTTACGCTGGGGAGTGGTGGGAAAGATACGGGGGAGACGGTTGTTAGTAGTGCGACGGGTGGGTTGAGTAGGAGGGAGGTGCTGGCTAAGGCTGCGGAGGAAAGGTTTAAGAAGACGAAGGAGGTGGAGAAGAAGGCGGAGGAGGGGACTGGTGGGAGTGGAAGTAGTGGAGCTTGATTGCTGTGCAGCGAGCGGGAGGGCAGTCGATGTGCGTGTATACCCTTTTGATTGCGCATTCTGCACTTGTGGATAGAAGAAGCAGTTTTTATCATCATTCCGCTCCATACATTGCATTACCACGTCTTTACATGTCCATATCTGAACACCTAGATTTCGTTATTCCCTAATTTCGGGTCTTGGGGTTTATATTGTCTCACGCAGCCAATGGCGCACCCAGGAGGGCTGAAATGTCGATCCATGCCTTCGGATAGGAGGAAGCTACAAGCTTTGTTTACCCCATCTTTACCCCAACCTTTAGCGCTGCCGCCAGTAGGTGCAGCCGATGACCTCCGCTTCTGCGTTGGCATCGCAGCTTCCTTTCTCTTGACAACACATAGGTATGCTTTGATCGTGAAGCTTTCTCCTACCTTTGATTCCAACTGTCCAGCCTAGACTACTAGTTCACCAGATCGCCGCCTCGCCATCGATACCAAGACACCAACCATCCCGAGGTCCTCATTCCGGCCGCCGTCTACTCCTCTCACGATGTATTTCGTCATCTTCGCCCTCCTCATCGCCGCAGCCTGGGCAACTGTCGGCATCTTGCTTGCGAAATGGCTCAAACAATCTGGTCATGCGAGGCCGTTCAAAGGAAGGGATTGGGATAGTCGCGAGCTTTATGGCGGTGGCTCTGGGTATGGGCGCGATATTGGGCTTGGGGGACCGTCGAGTCAAGGGAAGGGGCAGGGTGGCAGGGAGAGAGGTGTTGGGGTTCCGCTGACGGGGGTGGGGAGGGTTAAGGGGTTTTAGGATGATGGAGGAGGGAGGATAGTGGAAGGCGAGATAGAAAGAAATGAACAATAGAGACGGGTGAACACGGTGAGGTGTAAATAGATGAGGGATTGGTAAGACAATACGTCCTATCTGGTGACGGTTCACGGCTGACATCCCGCAGACTGACCGTCAACGCTTTTGCAATCTATCGACCGCGGCACTGAGGCTTAACTACTCCAGAAGATGAAGCTGAACATCTTCCCATCTGTTGTGAGCTGGCTTTCGCATAGCGTTGGGTGTTGTTAGCAGATGGGTCCAGTGAGCCTTTTTGTTCGCACGCAACTACTACGCACTTCACGCCACCATCGCCAGCGCGTGTGTTCGGTGCGGATGCCGAGATTGAGCTTCTATATGCTCAAACTGGCCGCTTCGACCGAACCGCTAGGTTGACCATATAGAAACTCAGCGTCGCCATCCGCATCGAATACACGCAGTCTTTCGACACTGTTCGAATCATTACGTCCTTTGTTCATTGTCTTCTCAGCTTGAACAACGACGCCGCGAGTACATCTTCGTCGCTTATACAAAGACCGAGAGCCTTCTTGTTTGAAGAGCCTTTCCTCTCTAAACAACGAAATGGAACCTGCGTACTCTGTCCAACTTCACTGTTTGCTCCCACCTTCAAAGTGAAAGTAGTCCAAATGGCAGCTGGAAGGCGATACTACACTTTAGCGTCACAGACCTTGCGCGCCACGCGATTGCCCAAGTCCACGCTGATTACAGATACTACGACTATGTTGCTACCTGGACAAGTTCACATGCCTCGTCCAACACCCCCGCCATATGTGGTCGCAAAGACACTGACCCAATACCTCTTTGGCGAGACCACACTCCCATCGTTTCTTCAGCGCTACGGCGATATCTTGCTGGCAATCACGGGAGGCGCAGCTGCAGCATCGGGCCTATGTTGGTTCTTCCAACATAATGAATGTAATCGCAAAAGGATCAGGCTGGCGGTCTACCATGTTGTTCGCACACTTCAGATCATGCCTGACCTAGAAGAACGGATGGAGGAGATGCCAGAGGATCTTTATAAGGAGATTGCCCGTGAGGTCGATCGGATGATCGGCACTTATTTGACTCTGTCAGAGAGTGAAACTACCTTTAGGATGGCTAAACGTAAGCTTTTGGATGATTACGAAGCATTTGAGAGAGAAAGAGTGGCTGGAAGGAGAGTAAGAAGGAGGATGGACGTTCCTGAAATTGTCATTCAATCTCCGTCTTCTGGAAGTCTGCCCGAGGAAAGTCCCGTTCACGAGGAAGAAGTACAACAAGAGGGTGAGCCGGATATGGCCATGCTAGGCTACAACCCGACAGCAACGCACATGAGCCCAGTACGAGAGCGGCCCTCGCCCACTTCTCCCGATATCGCTCTCAACTTCGAGGACTTCAGACTACCGTCATCGGAACAGAGTAGGGGGAGTCGCGGAAGTCCATCCAGTCTAGGCTTTTTGAACAATTACTCCTCTTCACCACTGGCGCGGCCGTCGAATCCGACGCCTCGTCGTGGTCGAGGCGGTCCTTACAGCAGCGACGATACGCCTTCGCCACAACGCCTGGGCCCCATAGACCTTTCTAGTGAAGACATGCCTTCTGGAGAAGACGAACAGCCAGTGGGCCGTCCATTCAATCCTACACCTCGCCGTGCCCAAGGTTCTACATATGTACAAGTCGACACGCCACGGCCGAAGACTGCGCGTGGGAACAGATCCGACCTGGATCTGAACAGTCATGACATTCATACTCCTGTTGTCTCTCAAAACGACGATGTACCAGTGCATGGATCACCTCGACCGCTCATCACCACCAGGGACATCCGTGAGCGTCGCGAAAAGGAACGTGCGTCAAATGCCGTGAAGACGACTCAAAGGCCCCGTAACACTATTCCACTACAGCAGCCGCCCAGCGCAATGGCTGTGAGAACCCAAGGGAAAGTTCCCGGGCACTGGCTTCCCTCCATACGAGAAGGCCTATCTCCGCACGTGAGTCCTGCGGTAGACGCTACACAATACCGTGTTGCAGAAAGTCGCAAGCTTGATAGACAGCTTCAGGACGAGAGGAACGAGCGTCGCCAGTTCAGGAAGCATATACCGCCGATTGGTGATCAGCCGCGTGAGGATGAAGAAGAGCCACTCGCTGAGGCAGTGGAGCCGCGAAGGCATGAAGCACCTCCTGAGCCCAGTCAAAGTGAGATACCATCCAGATTCGCATCGATCGATCCAGAAGTTGATGAAGATGATGATATGGTGCATTTCGAAGACGCCGCCAAACATTCCACGTCAGCAGGACTTATTGCAGCCGCTTCACCAGCGGTCCGCCACGACAACCCATTACCTGCTGCTGCGACTCAATCCTCCTCGTCAAGATCAAGGCCATCACCTCCGGCAGCGACCAAAAGCCAATCGCGAAGGTCGGCGGCTCCAAGTCCACCGGAGAGGACTACGAAGAAAGCGGCGAAAAGGCCAGCAGCAAAGGCGCAGGCTAAGACACCTGCGAAGACACCTGCGAAGAAACCTGCAAAGACGCCTGCGAAGACACCTGCGAAGAAACCTGCAAAGACGCCTGCGAAGACACCTGCGAAGACACCTGCGAAGACACCTGCGAAGACACCTGCGAAGCAAAAGGCTCCGCCAACGACCGGGACGCGGAAGAGTGGAAGAATTGCAAAGTTGAAGGATGAGAAGAAGTGAACATTAGTGTTGAACTCTGTTTAGGGTGTCGAGGAGGTACTGGTCGATGTTTGCATACTTCAATTGATGATTTGAATGCCGCTTGTTATACTTTCTCTCACAGTCATTTTCTGGTATGCTAATGCATCATTATGCTGATTCGAGAGGGCCATGTTTGTCGTGATCAAAATTGCCACTATGCCTCCAAATGACGATATGACGTCATCAGCCCTTCTCTCAATCATCTTTATCTTCGTCTCCTCTTCTTTTCCGATCTTTTCAACCTCAACAGATTCTGATCGTGACTTGCCAAAATTTGCGCATATCCCAACAAAACGTCTACATAGTCGTAATAGGGTCGCTAGCAACGGCCCTGCATGGTGGCTGACTGTCAGCTGGTCAAGTGATCGACATGTTCCTCTAATTCATTCATCACTGCCTGAACCTCGATTTCAGGCCTAGAGTCGAAACTCCATTTTCGTGGTCGTGATAGGTTGGCCAGCTATCCGTTTTGACAGTCTCGTGCTTTGCGCCACACGGCATGGCTGTTCACCGGCGACACTGAAGTGTCATCTTCATTCAACAGAAACATTAATCCTTCGTGATGGTAGAAGTATAAGAATCTCACTACTGAACTCACATAACCGTATCATCCATACAGCTTCACAGTTCCAATCATTGCCCAATACTTCCCATCAACTATCGCAACCACCCCAAATGGCCAACCCCCAACCCACCCTCTCCCCCTCCCACTTCCACCGCATAACCAACACCACTAACCCCTCCAACCCCACCCTCGACATCGTCAACGACCACGGCACCCAAAACAGCACCGGCCTCCTCAAATTAACCCGCGAAGGCTACTACTCAGGCCAATACTGGGCTTTCATCCCCTCACCCTCATCCTCAACCCCAAACACTTACCGCCTCCGCACATGGTGGCTAGGCCCAAACCGACTCCTCGATGTCTACGCAGATGATACGTCGAAAGCGGTGTTGAGGCGGGCGGACGACACGTCGCATGCGCTGGATTGGAAGGTGGGCGAGTGGGGTGATGGGACGTGGTGGATTGGGAATGAAGCGAGCGGTGTACTGAAGGTTATGAATGTGGGTGTGGAGGATGGGAGGAGGGTTGTGTTGAGGGAGAAGGATGAGGGGGCTAAGACGCAGAGGTGGAGGATTGAGGTTATTAGGGAGATTAGTGAGGATGAGTTTTATGATAGGCCTGCTACGCCACAGGAGGGAGAGGGCTGTGTATGGAGATATCGACTTGATGCATTCAATCGTAGAATTCGTTTCTATTCATTCCATTTATATACACATGTTGTTGATACGAAATATCTACGAAGCAGGAGCAGCGGTACCGTATGGGACCGCCTTGGCGCTCTCAATGTCGACGTAACCGTACTTGCTTCCGGTCTTGTCGTCGGAAAAGCCTTGAGCCCAGGTACCCATGTCTTTCTGGAAAGCCTCGAAGTTCTTCTCGTCGCTCAGGTCGATAGGCTGCTGGTCCTTGCCCAGCTGCCTAATCTGTGTTCCTGCTGCAACGTTGGTGATGCCGAAATCGTTGTCGTCGGTTAATTGGTTGATCGCGGCGTGAACCTCGCCGTTGATGATCTGGCGAGGAAGCTCGGGCTCCTGGGTGACTGGACGAGCGAGACCAACACCGTCGACGGTGTTGAGGGCGTCGACCATGGCGGCGGCGCTCTTGAAGCCACCAGTGACGTAGGTCTTGGTCTTAGAGAGCGAAGGAGTGATCTTCTCGGCGAAGTCGAGGAAGAAAGCTTCGCGCTTCTTGGTGGACTCGCGCTTGTGGCCGAAAGCAAGCTGCTCGTAGGTACCACCGGAGAGCTCAACAAAGTCGAAGCTGTTGTCCTCAAGCAACTTGCAGAGAGTGGCAGCCTCTTCGGTACCGAAACCCTTGTCTTGGAACTCAACGGAGTTGAGCTTGATGCCAAGAACGAAGTTGGAGGAGGTGCGCTTGCGTACTTCCTGACCGATCTCGGTGATGATGCGTGCGCGGTTCTCGAGCGATCCACCGTACTTGTCGGTACGCTTGTTGGTGCTTGGGGCGAGGAACTGTGCGAGCAGGTAGCCGTGGGCTCCGTGAAGCTGGATACCGTCGTAACCGGCCTTCTCAAGGTACTCAGCTGCGTGAGCAAAGCCCTCGATGACGTTCTTGATATCCTCGTCGGTAGCGGCGCGTGGCTTGGCGAAGGTCATGCCCATGACATTGCCCTCTAATTGTACGTCGGATGCGGAGATGGGGTTCTTTTGGATGCTCTCGGTTACCTGGCGACCTGGGTGGCTGACCTGTCCGACGATCAAAGAGCCATGCTTCTTTGACTGGGTCGCAAGCTCCTTGAACATCTCAAATCGCTCGCCTTCGTACTTAGAGCCGCGGGGAATGATGGGGTTGCCGGCAGCCTCCAGGTGGTCGTATTCGATCATGATGTTACCGGTTAGGATGACGCCGAACTCGCCCTCGCCCCATCGTCGGTAGACGTTGACGAGGTTCTTGGAAGGAACACCACGAGCTTCGAGGTTCTGAGCATCCCATGATGATAGACGCTCGGTCATAGCACCCTTGAGGAATCGGTTCTGCGCAGTCTTCTTGGAGAAAGCAAAGTCGAGAGGTTTTGCCAAAGGAGCAGGGTCCTTCTTCTCGGCTTCATATCTTCTTGGTGCCATGTTTGCGGAAATGTGAATGGGTATCTAACAAAAAAGACAAAAGTATAGTATTATAAAACTGATGTTTGGAAGTGGTGTGTTGTGAGTGAGATACGAACTTGGCGTGCGGTCAATGGCGGTCTATAAGTGTTTCGTTAGTGCTTCATCAGTTTTGCATTTCTAAGCTTTTCCACGAGTATGTCGCCAAACAATGACGGACTCGTCCGAGATTGATCCATAGCCACGTCATAGAGGTACGCTATAGGCTAGGGCCCGGCTGCGACACCTCGGCAGATGTAGGCAAAGCACCGTGATCTAGACGCGCCTCTTGCGGGATGCCAGAAGATCGCGTTAGGCTGTATGGTGGAAGAGAGGGTTGTGGGGTTGAAATGTCGCGCTGGAGCACCGGAGTGCGTGGCGTCATTCTCGCGTTACAAATCGTTCAGGAACCGGACGAATCGGACCGACGATGTTGCGGTTGCGTGCTATCACGTGTCGGTGAGCTGTCAGGAACGCCATCGTCGGAGCACGATCCTATCCGACACCAACACCATGCGTTCGGCAAATGCCACGTCTATCCATCGACTGCCGGGATCAATTCTAAAGACTTCGAAATCCTGCCTAAAATCGTCATCGCCTTTCTCGCTGCACGGATGAAGGGATCCGCCCACCGACCGCCTCGTCTCTCCACAGAGCACCAGATGATACTCATCGTCAACAGACGCATCACTGATAGACCATGCATCTTGAAATATCAATATTTTGACGATTATATTCTGCGCGACGAGTGTAGGTGACTAAGACACACAGTGGGTGGCTACGCTATGTTGGATAGCATCGCCTCCAAGTTCCTTCGCTCCTCGAAATGCTCAAAGCGTTTGTTGCTTGCCAAGATGTATGCGATCGCCCTTACTCCGCCAGCACGGATAGTCCGGTGAAAGGAACCTCCTGGCACTTGTTCTGCTCGGTAATGAGAATCTCGTCACCAGCCTGGCAGTTGGTCGAAGCGAAGACGCGGAGAGACAGGCCCTTGTTGCTGTCGAATGCAACGCTCTTGCCAGTGTTGAAGCCTTGACACTTGTTGTTACCACCTTCTCCGAAGTTCTTGTACTGGCCGGTCTCGCAGTTCTGGAGGGAGAGATACAAGTCAGCTGGTATTCATGATGAGGATCGCCTCGTTGAGGCTGACATCGGGATATGACTTACGCTAACGGAGAAGGCGCTGACCGCGGGAGTGAGAGCGGCAGCAATGGCAATGACGGAGACAAGAGTGAACTGCATCTTGAAGTTCTGGGAGGAAGGGTCAGCGGGAAGAAATAGCAAGAGTTCGACGAGACACACTGATGGAGTGGTTGAGGTAGAAGCGGGAGTGAGTTGCTTGAGGTTTGAGGATTGTGTTGGATGATGAGCTCTTGAAGGGACGACAGCCTGATACTTATACCTCATCTAGGCTCGACATGCCAGGCTGGGAAAGCACGATTTCGACAACCCAAGACGCCTTCACAGCACGATATCGAGGCTTGCGATCAACGCTCCAGGCGTCCAACAGTGGACTCTCTAATCGGGGTCGCTATGCCATATCGAAGTGGCTAAACCTCGGAAGCCTAAACGTCACCGCATATTGAGTGCGACAGGTCACTGCGAATGTCTTTAGGCATCCAGTGACTGAGGCGAAATGATCGTTGGCACACGCAGATTGACGAATCGTTATGCACCGAGGACCAACAAGGCACATCTCTCAAGAGTACGCGGGCTGCTGGCAGCATTATGGCTCTTGATCAGTAACGTCAATGAGCAGAGTGTAGCTTGGTCCTGCTTTGGTAAGACCATTCGTGGCACGCTGACGTTCAAGACGGTATCGCATCCGTGAGCATAACTTCTAATTCCAGTGTTTCCTCCTCAGCGGCCGCCGCTCCACCCCTATGCTAAAAGGCTGTCCATCGATAGATGAGGCGCTATAGACATCATTGTTCGTCATCTTTGGGTAACACTTTCGCCGCGCATGCGATGATTGATGAGCAACGAACGTTTAAACGCTTGGCGATGGCAGGCCTTACACCACCGGTACTTGTTACACCCATGTACACGTACCACGATCAGCAAAGCCAAGGAGACTCGAAGCCCTAAAGATGTTCCAAGCCCGACCCAGCTGCTCTCACCACTCTTTCTTATGATTACGATCGTCAACAACTAACCCACTCATGGCGACGCCAGCCACGATCCGACGACGACACAGGGCACTTCTTCAATCCTCACCGCTGCGCATCAGAGACGGGCAGGAAGCTTCCACCCGCTCATACAGCGGTTTCGCTTGCCTTAGGCCACCATCCAAGATCAATTCGCTGGAGTAACTTCGGTCTATCCACAGCCAAGATCGCACTTCCACATTTGTCCCGCAAACCAAGGCGGTATGTAAACATATAGATATCTGGGCAGCTTGGCTCATCACCTTACCTCTTCAACTCGATACTATCTCTTTGGTCGTTGAAGTAACATGCTTTCAATCATCATGACATATCAAGAAATGATAGCAGCCCATCAAGACTACGTACGACAACAGATACTACACCGATATCCGCTATCCGTCAGATCAGAGGATGCGGGATTTCGCGGCATGCAATCCTTCGACGGGCCGGTAGCAGGAGTCTGGGGAGCGGACCCACGCGGCCCGCCTGATCTACGTGAAAGAAACGCCGATGCACGCGCATCTACCCACCTACGCGCGTTCTTTGGGGCCTGGAGAACACTGTATCCCGAAATGGGACATCTTGCGATCATTCATATGTTAACAAGCAATCCATTTCAGGCTCGGTGCTAGTTCGGTCCTCCCACGTCGCCGAATTGGCCAACCCAGATCTTGGCCAGCGGAATGGTGGAGTAAGGCGAGCAAGACATATTTGTAATACAATCGTACATTGTGCAAAGTCAGTGAGCGTAACGATGAGAACGACGCCCGAGGTTGAGCTGTCTTGATTGCTGGGATTATACCCAGCCCTATCTGAAGGATGGTCGAACTATTCATTAGCTGACATATTTCACTGCATTTCTACCAAGAGCTGGTTCCAAAGGCCACCACAATACGCTCTTCCAAAGATCTGCGCCCGCTAGATCACAGCTTATAGAACGTATAAAACAAATTTGAGTAGATTACATCTAACTCCCAAGCTACTCAGACCTCTTTCTCATCCCTTTCATCGCTCAATGGGCGAATCCAAGGAACTCAGAAAGGCGCTCAACAAAAGATACGTAGAGCTCGACAAACGGCAAGCGGTTCTCAGATATCAATCGTTTCCTCGTATCCCGGACAAGGCGTAATAGAGGCAGAGAATCGATTCGAAGGTCAGCGCGGGCCCTCGTGCAGGAATAGAGGATGCGGCGTAGCTCCCGTGAGTAAGGCGCATCCTCTGAAGTTTCGAAATTCTCAGGCAGCATTGCCTTCTCGTCCAGACAGGTAGGAGACACGACGTTCTGCACAACACACCACGTTAGTCGGCCGATCTGATACACATCGACGGCTTTGGTGCCATATTGACCCTCCGGTGGCACGTATGCAGGGTCCATACGCGGTGTTTCCTCGGCCTTTGGATATTTGTCTTGGTCCAAAGTACTAATTTCTGATTGCCGCATGGCGCAGCCAAAGTCGCCTAACTTGACGATCGGATACTCAGTCTTGTCGCCGGTACTAGAAGTGATGAAGACGTTCGACAGAATGATGTCGCGATGATATACGACATCCCAAGAGGCGTCTTCTTTAACCTCCAGGCATCCATCTTCAGGCTCCTGTTGCTCAAACTTTTCGAGTACATTCGGACCATAGTGCAGATAAACAGCCGCGTGTACCAGGCTCTCCAAGATGTTCCAAACGAAGAGCTCAGGTACTGGAAGTTTCGCCTCATAGGCATATTTTGCGAGGAAGTCAAACAACGTACCTTTGTTGCAGTACTCCGTGATCATCCATGCCGTATCGTGTATGCTCTTTGGTGCGGTACCGTCGAAGAACTTGATGACTTTGTCGTGCTGCAAAGTCCCGAGAATATCGAGCTCTCGCTCAGCGAAGCCGAGATAATCTCTGGGTAGGGGAAGAGTCTTCATGATCTGTGCGGAATTATCAGGGTTGTTCTCGTTGTGGACTAAGTAAATACCACGGTTGAAGCTTCCGTCAACGTCTTGCAGCTTCGAGGCGATGCGCCATTTTTCACCAGCTTTATCGCCGGTGACCTTCCCATCGATCGCAAACCGCTCGTCTGCTATCGTGGAGGCAAACTTGCTATTCAGCATATCAAGCAGCGTACACATGTCCATCATCGTCAGCTTTCCAGGGGGGTTGCCATTCCTGGCTTTATAATAGCGGACAAAGAGGCCGAATGCGTGGTGAAAGCCTGGATATCCCTCTGGATCCTCGGGGTAAGTTCGCAGATTCATCTCTTTTATAAACCCTGTGAACGGAGCTCTATTAGGGGGGTACAACCAGGAGATATCCTTTGAAATACACCAGCGCTTGAACTCGTTGAAGTAGTCTGAGCATTCCGGACCTTCCGGTTCTAGCTCATTGAGCCATTGGGGTGTTGAATGCGGTGCCACGCTGTCGTTGCTGAAATTCGTCGTTTCCGTTGTACTTGAGCTCTTCGAGGCCATGGTGAAATCTGCAACGCAAGAGCTACGCGATGTATGTCTCTGGCAATTGTTTAAGCCGAACTAGTGACGTAAAAAAAGAAAATTATGGAATGCTATATACCGTTTCGTTAATAGTTCTGCTCCAAAACAGTATCACATGGTGTATCGACAGCGTATGACGTTGTGGAGAACGATATCATGATTCGCGTACACAACACTGTGCCGCTATGAATCATCTGCATGCCGTTAACAAAGTACACCCAGAGGTAAATGCACGGCGTATCTGTCCACTGCGTATATACCTTGATCGTGATGCTGCTGAATTGTCGATAGCATCAACGTCTCGCGAGGAGGCCTTTAGTATCATACGTGCTAACCACGATATGTCAAAGGAGACTTACAAGCGTCGCAACCGAGCCGACAGCGGCACCTTCACATGTAAAGATGAAGACGAAATCTTTTGCGAAACAATGCTGGACCTTTCCGACTACCTGATCGAAGAAGACCCCAAACTCAACAAGCCCGATCAGCTTACTCTACGTTACTTCAGGCGAATCTACCAGATTTCACACAACACTAACTACATTGTTACTAGATTCTTGGACCGTACCCAGCTGATCACATCGCCCTCTGACCCTGCTGATGCACCGGGTCTGGCTCATTGTATACAGCTTGTGTCAAATAACGAATCTGGAAGTTGGGCCGAGAACCGGGCTGAGAATGAGCGTACTGTTAAGAATCTACTGCTAGATCGAGCAAACCGAGCATGTAATCGCGATATCTTCGCTGTTGGAAAAGTCGTCGGTGGACGATGGGCTATCGAATCCGAACTGGGAGGTGTTGACGGAACTTTCAATCAAGGTATCCTCTTCGTGCGCGATAATATCCAGGAAGACATACGCATCATGAAGGTGTTACCTTCAGAAGCCATGTATCCTGGCTTCCAAGCTCGAGAGATGAATATCTTGAGCCGCCTACATCATCGCAACATCATCACCCTCTACGACGCGCATCTCCCCAGCCCAGTAACAGAACGTCACGCCTCACCCTATCTCGTAACAGAGTACTGCGACAAAGATACTCTAGCCGATTTGATCAAAACCTGGAACACGCGCGGCAAGCTCATTCCCGAAAGCTTCGTGTGGCAAGTCTTCGAAGCCCTAGTAACAGCCGTCCAGTACCTACACCACGGACCCTATCCCTACAACGAGGCGGCTTACAATTGGGATCCCATCACCCACCGCGACGTCATACCATCCAACATCTTGCTGAAAAGTAGCCCAAAGGTCAACGAATTCGACTACCCCATCAGCATCAAGCTAGCGGATTTCGGCTGCGCCATCACCGATAGCGAGATGGAAGCTCAAAAATATACCGTCCGTGATCTTCCCCTCGTGGCTGATCAGTACAGGCCTCCAGAAGGAGCGCAAGCGACTGAAGCGACGGATATGTATCAAATTGGGTTGGTCATGTCGCTCATGTATTGCATGACGGATAGCCCTTTGCGAGATCTTGTCGAAGCGGGTAACTTATCACGGGACTGTCTTAAGGGCTACAAGGGGTATTCGCCTGAGTTGCGCATGTATATTGAGATGTGTCTTGATGTCGACGAGGATCAACGGCCTGACTCGAACTTCTTTCTGCTGCGCATTCAAAGTGCGCGGAGGTCGTTGCGCAGTACGGGTAGGTTCGATGGGCAGATCGAGCTTTTTGCAAAGGTTTGAGTTTATCCCAGGACCTATGTGGGTGGGAGAAGTTTGTGAGGTTAATGTCGGTAGACCCATCGTAGTCCAGTTACCTTTTTGTTCGTAACGGTCCGTGTAGATGCCTCAAGACCTACGTCATCACAGCGCAGTGTGTCCTATGCCTGTGGTGGGAGCGGGACTGCAACATGTAAAACCCGTTCTCAATGCCCCGAGGCTAGTTGCAAGATCTGAGATATGATTGTGCGCATGCAAAGCTGATGTCGATTCAATGATGCTCTTGGCATGTTCCTGTTGTTGCGGGGTCGAAAGCGTCGTCGCCGCCGCATTCGGGAACGCGGCTATCGAATCGCCCCTAGCTTACGTAGGTACCTGCCCAAGCAGGAGCCTGACACTTTCTTCTCTACAGCCACTGTATCACACCATCCAATCTCGGAACTTCAACTGCAATCATGTGCCATACAGGCGGGGAAGCCTTTGACACTGCACGAGCATTGCCACTCGAACGTCATGCATGTCGTACCCTGCGATGCGTTGCTGCAAGGCGCTGCTGAGCGCCGAGATCCGCGAGTGAGTGGGCTGTACATTTGTGACGTCCCCGGCGGCTACAGCTATTCACGACCGTATCATAGGGCCGGAGCAAATACGGCTGAGGGGTAGTACTTGAAAGTGTGGGATCTGAGAGCAGATAAGGCGTTGGCTAACAAGTTGATTCGCTACGGATATCGACATAGCCTCGCCGGTCAATAGGCTACAAGGCAGCCTTGCGCTGGGAAAATTGACATACCCACGTCGATCAACATGCTGCAATGCAGTATTGCGGCGCAGTCGCCTACCTCACACAAAGGTTCCCACGTGCTGCGGGGCTGAACTGCACTTAAAGAAGAGATGCAAGCTCTTACGAAGCTCAACCCAATTTATATCGACAAAATCACACCTGAGCCAGCACATTACGGAGAGAAGGTTCTTATGGCCCCTCAATTTGTGGTTAAAGCAATCTCAGATCCAAGGCAAGACTCTGGGCGCGGCTCGGAGGTATGGTCATTGAGCGGTGGGATAGTACAAACCCATGCCGATGATCCAAGTAACTGGACGTCTAGATTCCTTCTTGAAGCGATTCCCGAGTTTGCCAAAGACATACCGATCGATGACCCTCAACAGCCTGCGTGTTTTGCTATCAAGCAATGCATGCAGGGGAAGCCTGGGTTTGCTGGCTCTGCCTATCACAGTGCGGCCTTGGAAGAGACAATCCGGTGTGGATGCCGCTACTGCGGTGCTGTGTGTGAGATCACAACGGAGTCTATTGGGCGTGATATCAGAATCGGTTACTGGAAGGATACCTTGAGTGTTACATTCGATGCATTTAGGAGAGATGGAAAATCCCAAGACACAGTGAGGACGAAGCTGTTCGTCCTGGACGGTAAGTCAGTAGATGGTGGTAATGTTAGCTTGACTAATGACGGCGCAGCTCAGGAAGACCCTATTCTTCCCGTCTGGACAGACCTTCCAGGCAATACTGCATCGAGACAGAGCTTTGAGAACATCAAGCGCTGGCTCAATACATGTCTGAACACGCATAGATTGTGCTCACTGTCACACGAAACTCACGACCGCATCAAAGTACCTGACCACATCAAAGTACCTGACCACATCAAACTACCTGGCCACATCAAACTACCTGACCGCATCAAACTACCTGACCGAGTGGTAGAGGTGAGCGTCGATACACCACGTCGAATTCGCTTGATCGAAACGAAAGGACTAGAAGGGCAATATGCATGTCTCAGTCACTGTTGGGGCGGTAAGCAGCCATTGCAGACAACTCGGAAGCCAGACACACTGTCTTTCCATCTGCAACACATCCCAGAGATAGCCATACCGCGAACGTTTCGAGATGCTATTACGGTTATTCTTGAGCTTGGAATCCACTACATCTGGATAGACTCATTATGCGTAAGTCACTTTGGCATTCCCGTGAATGGGATGTCATTCAATCTAGGTACTGACTAGATGGTCAGATAATCCAAGACGATGAGGCGGATTGGCAGAATCAGTCTGCTCAAATGGCTGATATATATGCAAACTCTACGATAACGATCGCGGCGTCAGCATCTACAAGTCCAGACATGGGTCTCTTCCGGATCACAGATTCGAAATATGTCGGCAGACCTATGACAAATGCTCCTAGCTTCCACGTGAGATATCCACTGGGGCATGGAGGCCGTGATTTACCACTTTTTCAGCGAGGCTGGGCCTTTCAAGAGCGTATCTTGAGTCCCCGTGTTCTTCATTTTGCAGAGCATGAGCTCATCTGGGAGTGTATGGAATACGAAGACTGCGAATGTGGGGCCATGCGACTGGATTCCCTCAAAAGTCCAGGAGAATATACAGGAGGATATTTTCAAAAGACTATAGACGGAGAATGGCCGGCTACCAAGAGTCATTGTCATCCAATACGGTGGTGGTTACTCAAAGACAACCGCGAAAGGATTGTGGGCATATGGTCAAGACTCATCAGAAACTACAGCCAGCTGGAGCTGTCAAAGTCAAACGACATATTTCCAGCTATCTCTGGCATTGCGAAAAGCTTTGGGGAGGCCACCGGCTGGGAATACATTGCTGGCATGTGGAAAGAAGGGTTGATGCAACACCTCTCGTGGTACACGAGCCCGCCGGCGTTTCGATGCAAAGTATGGAGAGCGCCTACTTTCTCGTGGGCTTCTCTGATATTTCTAAAAGATGACTTTTATTCGGATTGCATTGCATACGAGCACATGCACGACATTCAAGATTTGGCTACAGTCGTGGAAGCCAAATGTTGTCCAAAAGGCGCCGACCCTACGGGTCAGTTGGAAAGTGGATACATCATCTTGTCAGGGACCATCATACAGGCCACTGTTGATCAGTGGTGGATCAAGCCCCTGGCGTCTTCAACGCAGAGCTCCGAACCACTCACGAGTCCTGAAACAGATGACATCCCATCCTCAG